TGATTGTGTCAACTGGAAACACACCTATATGCCATTACTCCACACACACCCTCTGAGATACACAGCTTGCTGATTCCTGATGCAAAACTGTCTCTGTGCAACATATGGTATCTCTTGCTGGGAGCGATCTGTGATTTTGCAGGAAAGCACTTAAGAAATTACACTATTCAGGAAGAACACTCGGTTTTGAGGTTTTCTGCCAGGGGAGTAAACAAGATTCTAATACTGAAGTCAGCAGGTGCCCTGGATCCAGCAACTACTATCCACAACTTGTAGCAGAGATGGAAGGTTGAACTGGAATGACTTCTTCTGTAATAGTCTATCCTGTTGCCTTGAAGCTTGTACAATTCCCTTCTCCTCCTTTTACATGCTCCAGTTTCTTTCCTTGCTTCCTTGTCTGCAGAAATCACACATGACCATATCTTTCTTGCTAGTTAAAACCAGGTCAACATAGTTCAAATCTGCACCTAGACTATAATTTCTCCTTTTTGGATGTATATGGGGACCTTAGTATCCACGCCCAGTGAATACCAAAACACATGGATGCTCAAAACCCATGAAAAATAATAACATTGTAAAATGAATTTGCTTTTGGGAATTTTTTTTGAAGGGGGATATTTTCAAGCTGTGGATGGTTGAATATTTAGATGTAGAATCCATGGATATGGGTGGCCAATGAATACCAAATAATGGTCAATTCAAACAAACAAGAGAATAATGAGGAATGGAATTATGTTATTTGTTCTCTTTCCCCAAAGTGTGTTCCCCAGCAGATATTTGCTACAGAGGTATGTGCAGAGAAGGCAGGGGCCTCACCTCCTTTCACCCCATAAAGTTAGTAGCAGTTTGAGGGTGACTGGATGTATGGAAAGTAGATTGGGGAAAAGGCAAATGAGAATTAAATACTGTCTGTCAGGGGATCACTTTCCTAACCTCACGCTTGAGGCTCAGGCGTCGGCAGTGTCCGGGAGGGCTTTTGCACAATTGAGACTCATGCGCCAGCTGCGACCGTACCTCGTGAAGGCTGAATTGGCCGGGGTGGTTCATGCCTTGGTCACCTCTAGATTGGATTACTGTAATGCGCTCTACGTGGGGCTGCCCTTGAAAACGGCTCGGAAATTCCAACTGGTTCAACGGGCAGCAGCCAGGATGTTAACTGGGGCTCCTTACAGAGAGAGGTCAACCCTCCTGTTCAAGGAGCTCCACTGGCTGCCGTTTATTTTCCGAGCCCAATTTAAGGTGCAGGTACTTACTTTCAAAGCCCTAAATGGTTTGGGACCATCTTACCTGCGTGACCGCATCTCCGTCTATGAACCCACACATTCACTTTGTTCATCCGGAGAGGCCCTGCTCGTGATTCCGCCTGCGTCACAGGCGCACTTGGTGGGGACACGAGACAGGGCCTTTTCTGTGGTGGCCCCCCAACTCTGGAACGCCCTCTCAAAAGATCTTAGACAGGCCCCTACATTGGCAGTCTTTAGAAAGAACTTGAAGACCTGGCTGTTCTGATGTGCCTTTCCAGATTAGGAATCTCCAATARCAAGTCCRAGAAGCACTTTASTAGAACTAAGATTGCTGCACACTGCACATTGCACTTACCCTATAATCCTACATACCTCCTGTCACATCAGCARTTTTAATCTTGTACKCATTACTCTGGCCCGGCCCAGTTTTATAGTGTCTTGATGTATTGTTTATTGCTTGTTGTTAATATTYRTTTAACTYTTTTTTAATTTGCTTTAGGTGTTGTATTGTTGTGTTGTGTTTTGAGGCCTTGGCCTATGTAAGCCGCATTGAGTCCTTCYGGAGATGCTAGRGGGGTACAAATAAAGTTAATATTAATAATAATAATAACCTCCAAGCAACCATATGGTGGGATTAAAACTGAAGACAAAACAAAACACACACATGCCCCAACTGTCAACCATCAGTAGTGATGTCAAGACTCAAAGACTTGCTGCAAAAACACAATCTTAGGGCTATCACCAGTGAAAGAAAAGGCATTTGTATTATTGTCTGTGAGGTAACCTCAATGCCTGGTATTCCATCTTCCTGTATCGATTCCACTCATTCCAAAGCTGTTTGTAAGAGTGTTGTGCTTGTGCAATGTCAGTACACCAAAACCTCAGGAATTAATATGTGTGTGTGTGTGTGTGGGGGGGGGGGGGGGGGGGGGGGGCTGGATGGATGCAAGAGAAGGACCTGAAATACAGGAACATGTCTTCCATGTCGTCTCATCATATAACCCTATTTGACTTTTGTGTGGAGCAGATGGGCTGGTGAAGAATGTTCCATGTGTCTCCAGAATGCCATAGAACCTGGGAAAACTATTATTCATGTGTATGATAAATAATGCCACCAGGAGTAGAAGATTCAGCAGGAATGGAGGCAACTACAGTAGAGCCTCTACATAAGAATGTCCCAACATAAGTATGTTTTAACTCACAAATCCTCACTTGGCCTAGAGTGACGTTTTGACATCTAAATGCTACGAACAAACAGTGCAAAAGAGGCCTATTTCCCCCCCCTAAACCAGTTCTAATAGTAAGCTAGAGAGAAACAAAACCTGGACTGGATTCTTGCTCTTGGCTCTTCCAGTACGGCAAAAACTCCAGCTCCATGTGATTGCTTCCAATAAACGTTCTGGGAGGAGTCCAATCCAGAGATACCACTCCAGAGATTGCAGTCCCTCTAAGTGCAGCAGAGCCTCAGACTAAACTGGCTGTATCTGGTGGCTCAGTGCCTCAGCCTGCGTGCTTTTGCCTGCTAGACACCTGTTCTTCTCCGCTTTCCAGTGTCCACTGAGGAAGCGTGGGTTAGCTCACTTTGTGTGCCTTTTATTCCTGCTACTGTATTTTTCACTTCAAGAAGAGGGAGAGGGATAGATAATAGACATTATTTTGCTGCTGTATTCTTCAGCTCCATTAAAAAAAAAAGAAGAGAGAGAGGGAGAGATGTTGAAATTACAGTATGAAGAAAATGATGTTTACATACTGTTTCGCCTTGTTGTTACACTGGCCAACACACATATTGTTGACTCAAATAAATAATAAATAATTTTTTATTTATACCATCTCCCCGAAGGGATTCGGGGCTGCTCACAGAAGCACCACAACGTGCCGTATATAAACAAACAAGTACATAAGTATACAAACAGTAACATAAGTTTCAAAACAACAACACACATAAAATCCCATCTGACAAAAAGTACTTCCTTGCCATAGTAGCTTGATGGGGGCGGCGGGCGGGGGAGAGGAATGAATTAATAGCATTTCAATAGGAAAATTTGTCTTGAGATAAGAATGTTTTAACTTAAGAACACAGTCATGGAAAAAATCAAATTCTTACATTAAGGTATCACTGTATTGCATCTACAGGGCATGTTTTGCCAACTACCTACCCACTGAAAATATGTTTTCTTTTTCCACCACCTTTGGGGTGTCAGACTTCATCCAAATTCTACATGCCTATTTCTTAACCACCTGATCTAGAAGCAGTTCCAGACTGTCTCCTAACTAAGGTTCTCTAACTTCTGCAACATCATAAGGCCCAAGTCCAGTGGCATCATTACCCTCTGGTTTGACATTTTAGCCCTGAAGTCTTACTGAAATGGGAGACTGCTGACTTGACATCCCTCCTTGTGAGAAGCTGGTCATGGACCTCTTGTTCCATGTCTACGCTGGTTCTGGATCAAAGGCATATTTCTTTGCATGTAGCAATATGAAGTAGCAGGCATTTGAAGACAATCTGGAGAGACAGAACACTAGTCTCTCCAGATTGCAGGTAGATATCATTAGAATAATTGAATTTTAGAGATAGAGGAGACTTCAAAAACCTCACTGCTGCCAAGGAAGAAAAACAAATATGAGTGGCTATTGCTATTTAATGGGGGGTGTAAAAGCCTTTCAATCCTTAGGATGATGTTTGGGATGTTTTTCCACTAGTGTTATATAATGGAGGTTATTGTTTGCCAATTGTCAGAGTGCTTCTGCAGAATTCTGGGAATTTAATTCAGGGTGGAACCTTTGGAATTCCCAGCTAGAGAAGTCCTCAGCTTCCCTAAACTACCTTTCCCGGATCAGATGATAGCCTCCGTTCTATAATGCTGGTGGGAAAACGTGCTTGGTATTGGCCAATAATAATAATAATAATAATAATAATCATCATCATCATCATCATCATCATCATCATCATAACTTTATTTATACCCCGCTACCATCTCCCCAAGGGACTTGGTGCGGCTTACATGAGGCCGAGCCCACAATACATCAATCATAAAAGCAATAACAAACAACAATACAAAACAGTTAAAATAAATCTCATAAACAAAAAATAAGCAATAAACATCGACAGTAGCACAACAAACGTTTAAAAATCTATGGCTGGGCCAAATGTAATAATTAAAATTTAAAGAACAATGCTGGGTATGAACAGATAAGATATAACTGGGATAGGGTTTTCAGAGAGAGTTGGGGCGTGCAGGCAATCCTAAGTCAGTAATAAAGTGCATTTGGAGGACATATTGCTGAGAGTTTCCTCATTCTGGGAAGGCACACTGAAACAACCACGTTTTCAGGCTTCTCCTAAAGACTGCCAGAGTTGGGCATGCCTGATGTCCTTTGGAAGTGAGTTCCAGAGTCGAGGGGCCACCACCGAGAAAGCCCTCTCCCTTAACCCCACCAATCGCACCTGTGATGAAGGTGGGAGCGCGAGCAGGGCCTCTCCAGATGATCGAAGAGGTCATGTGGATTCGTACACAGAAATGCGGTCATGCAGTTAGGCGGGTCCCAAACTGTTCAGGGCTTTGTAGGTAAGAACCTGCATCTTGAATTGGGACCGGAAAATGAACGGCAGCCAGTGGAGCTCCTTGAACAGAAGGATTGACCGCTCCCTGTAAGGAGCACCAGTTAACAACCTGGCCGCTGCCTGTTGGAGCAGCTGGCTCCTGTAAATAGACTCACCAACCTGGAAAGGTGAGTCTCACAGTTTCTTGGATGATGAGAAGCTTCATTTTGTCCCTATCCTACCATCTCTGCTCAGGACTGCATGCTGCTGGCAGGAATGAACTAAAAGAAGCAATAGTAGTGATGAAGTGTTAGTTTGAAACTCCTACTAGAATTTTACGACTAGCACTGTCCATAATTGTTTGCTTGTGGGCTGCTTAAATTGTCCTTTAAAACAAGCAAAAAGATCATTTCCAAAGACACTGCAAGTCTCCAAGGTTGTATCTTTCAGAAGTGACTCTGTTCAAGACTTTGAGCAGAGGGTCCAGAGTGAAAGAAAGCAGAGTCAAATGGCACCTCGATCAATGGGTGTCTAAAGGTTGGTAAGATAGCCAACACAGTCTTTCCCAATCCAATGCTCTTTAAGCTAATTTGATTTCTCTGTGCAGTAACAGTCCCAGTATTTAATGGGGAAAGACAAATGTTCTGCCCTTGTATATGGCTCTTTGGCCACATGGTGCCTGAGCAGCAATAAATTCACTCCTGCCACTACAAGTAGTCAGAGATTATAGGTCCGTCAAAGGTTACAAATAGCCATAATTACCAGGAATAGCAAAGTTGTGAAAAAGAGTCCCTACATTATGTTTATAATAAGAAGTAAAGCAAACCACAAACCTTACATTAGTTATGCTTATACTGAAACAATATTACATTACCCTTACTGGAGTGAAGGTTAAAAATTATATCCATGATTTTGTTCTCTGTCCACTCCTACTTGAGTTCTGCTTTCATCTCCAGAGAGAAGGAAATGTCTGTACCAGTATTGAGAAATTTTAGTGTTCATACATCCATCCAGTCACTGAAAGGAAATGGAAAACATTAAAATACAAATATATATGCAGAGAAATGTTTCAGGAAGCAAAGCCCTTTCTTTATAAATGTAGACTAAAACCACTTCACCCTCATCAACAGTAATAATGAATCTTATGTATATGAATGATATTAGTTTTATGAAATAACAAGCAACAAGAACAATTCCCTTATTCTCAGTCAGAACTGTTTGTGTGAAAATAATGGTTCAACAGTTCACTGTACTGACCAGTATTTACTGTCACTGCTGCAGTTCTATCCCCTTCTCCCTCAAGTCATGTCCTTAATTTCCATCTCAGGATGCACTTTCTGAAAGACAATATAGAAATAAATTCTAAGAGAAAACAGAAATGATCAACACTACTCAGAATATGTAATACAACTATCTATATCATCTATATAATCAATCTATCTACCTCTATCCATTAGGGCTGGGCGGTTTCGTTTCGTTAATTCGTAATTCGTTAATAATTCGTTAATTTTTTTAATTACAAAACGATAACAAACCATTCTGGAGCAATTTTTTAAAAAACGAATTTTTAAACACGTTTTGTAAATGCTTCGTATTTCGTTATTGTATTCGTTTCGTTATTGTTCTGAGGTCGTTTCGTTATTATTTCCGCATGTCTGGGGCAAGTTTTTGTTTAATTAGTGAAAAAAAATTATAATATCACACCAACAGTCAACAACAGAGGGAGAGGGAAGCTTCCTGTCCCATTTGGAGGTTTTTTTAGCGTATTGCGCGATCGCGCCCGCCATTAACGAATCGATTCGTAATTGTTTCGAAATCGATTCGTAATTGATTCGTAATTTACGAAATTTCGTAAATATCGAACTTTTTAAAAGGAAAATTTTGTAATTATTTTAAATAACGAAACACAAAAACCCCCAAAAAACGAATCGATTTTAGAAACAAATTTTTCCGTTGTTACCCAGGCCTACTATCCATAATAAACGTGAAAGTATGTATATATATATATATATATATATATATGTGGTCCATAAACTATGACCCCTAGTGCTGAGGAGCTACCAAAAGCCCTATGACATTTCAGGTTATAAAGAGTGCTGTGAACATGTACAAGAACCTCCAACCCTTGCCAAAGTCCTCCACAAACACCATACTACCCATCACCAAAGTGAAGGTTTTCATACCAGGACAATTTCATCCTAGATTCTATGTTTTTCCTCTACCACAAACATCTCAGTATTTCTTACTCTCTTCACTGGTGTGGAATTTGCATGATCCCACTCACTGCCTCTCCCATAATCCTTTCCTACTCTTTTCTACAGTGCACAGCAAACAGTGGAATTGATCACTGGAGGGGTTTGGGGGACTGACTCAACATGATGGAAGTTGTTGTTCATTCTGTATCAAGACAGAACACTGTGATCCCCACTGACAGTGGCTTGGACCAAATTTGGCACACAGACCGACCCCCATAATAAAGGAGGGGTTGTCCAGACAATGTTCTGGACAGCCCTGCATTAATTCCGTACATTAATTTGTTAGTGGATTTATTCCCTGCTCTTCTGGTATGTGATAAACCCATTATTTACATTATGTACTCCCCTCCCCCCAACCCCTGAGACCCTTTAGAAAAGTAAAAAAAAAAACCCTTACCAGCCTGCAGTATTTCCTCCGAGCAGCTCTCAAATGACAAATGACTCCCCCCAACCCCACTAGTATTCAGATTTGGATGTATCGGGTATTTGTCCCAGATTGATCCAGTGAATGAAAATACACCCTGGATACCAGATATTTACATTACGATTCATAACAACAGCAAAATTACAGTTATGAAGTAGCAACAAAAGTAATTTTATGGTTGGGGGTCACTACCACATGAAGAACTGTTTTAAGGGGTCGCAGCATTGGAAAGGTTGAGACCCACTGGTGTAGATGTATTCAGGTCTTCCTTTCCTGGTTTAAGGGATACAGATGTTAGATCCATACCATAATGCAATTCAACCCAAGAACCCTCAGCTTCTTTCTTGGTGTCAGAAACAGAACCTACACCTGGAAGAAAACAGCTATTTATATTTCCATATAATTGGTTCCTAAGATTATAAACAGTTATAATTTAGTCATGTGCAAAAATAAAGATTCCCTTATCCATTTGCATGTATCTAAACATTTATTTCTATTTGGTCATTGCTTCATGTTGAAATTAATAATTTGGCACGTACACATGCAGATACCCTTTAGGATTTCTTTACTGGCTATATAGAATTTCTAATCTCAATTTAGACAGAGAGAGTTATATTTAGAATTATTTATACTGTCCTGGAACAATGCCTAATAATAAGCATCTTTGAACCTCCCCCACTTTCCCCGAGGGGTTCAGTCATTCTTTTCTATATTTTAGCCTCTCATCTCACTTTTGTCAAAGTCATCACCTACACCCATACTTTCAGCAACATCATGTCACCATCTAGCTGTCTCCAGTGTCAACTGCTTTCCCTATCTTTTTTCTTTATCTGTACTTTGAATCTTTGCTTATTGGGGACTTCTCCTGTTTCGTATTTGTACATTATATCCTTCCTCTTTTTCCTCTGTATATGTCTTCTTGTCCACTCCTTCTTCCCGCCTGCCTGTCTCAAATAGTCTCTCTGCATCTTCTCATTCTCATATTGTGTCCCATTGTCCATTCCTTTTCTTGTGCTGCAGGCTTCCTCTTCTTGCTCTTCCCTCCCTCCAATTGTTTGTACCTATCATGCTTTGTGGCACTTTTCTACTGCAGTTGCAGGCACTATGCGTCATGGAGTGAACAACTTCAATAAAGATGGCTGGGGTGTGTTTGTGTGTGGCGGAGACAGGGGAGAAACAATTTACCAAACCAGTTTGTTTGTTTAAATATTTATGTCCTGCCCCATGTTCAAAGACACCATATATCATTCCCAAGAATATGACCTGAAGTGACATTTCAGTGGGAAAAATAAGTACTTCACATTCTGACCTAAGGTTTGTTTTCTAATTCAGTCAGAAGCATAAATAAGCAGTGAGCGTAAAAGTGTATTTTTGGGATTAATGTCAGAAGCATTGGGGATCTGGATAGCCCCTATTGGCTGATTGTATACTTTCTGTGATTCAGTTGGGTTCTTTTTATGTCCAAAGAAATATACACAGCAATAATAAAAATAATAATAATAATTGTTGTTTATTCGTTCAGTCGCTTCTGACTCTTTGTGACCTCATGCACCAGCCCACGCCAGAGCTCCCTGTCGGCAGTCACCTCCCCCAGCAACTTCAGGGTCAAGCCAYTCACTTCAAGGATGCCATCCATCCATCTTGCCCTTGGTCAGCCCCTCTTCCTATTTCTTTCCATTTTCCCCAYCATCATTGTCTTCTCTAAGCTTTCCTTTCTTCTCATGATGTGGCCAAAGTACTTCATCTTAATAATAATAATAATAATAATAATAATCATCATCATCATCATCATCATCATCTTCCTGAAAAAGTTACAGAGAATGAACACGTCAAGCTACTTGGTGACCTCATGCATCAGCCCACGCCAGAGCTCCCTGTAGGCAGCCACCTCCCCCAGCTCCTTCAAGGTCAAGGCAGTCACTTCAAGGATACCATCCATCCATCTTGCCCTTGGTCAGCCCCTCTTTCTTTTTATTTCCATTTTCCCCAGCATAATTGTCTTCTCTAAGCTTTCCTGTCTTCTCATGATGTGGCCAAAGTACTTCATCTTAATCATCATCGCCGCCTTCTTCTTCTTCTTCTTCTTCTTCTTCTTCTTCTTCTTCTTCTTCTTCTTCTTCTTCTTCCTGAAAAGGTTACAGAGAATGAACACGTCAAGCTACCCTGCGACTTCCAAATTCAGACAGACAGAGTTTTGGAGCACAATACTCCTGATTTCACAATTATTTTAAAAAACAAAGTATGGATCGTTGATGTCGCAATCCCAGGCTACAGCAGGATTGAAGAGAAACAACTGAAAAAGCTGACATGATATGAGGATTTAAAGATCGAACTGCAAAGACTCTGACACAAGCCAGTCAAGATGGTCCCAGTGATGATTGGCACACTGGGTGTAATTCCTAAAGACCTTGGCCTGGACTTAAACATAATCGGCACTGACAAAAATACCATCTGCCAGCTGCAGAAGGTCATCTTACTGGGATCTGCATGGATTATTCGCCAATACATCACACAGTTCTAGACACTTGGGATGTGTCTGACGTGTGATCCAATACAACAGCGAGCAGAGTGTCTGCTGTGGACTCATCTTGTTGTGTTTCAAATAATAATAATAATCATTATTTATACCCCGCCACCATCTCCCCAAGGAGACTGGGGGTGACTAACAGAAGTCAAGCCCAAGAATTACAATAAAGCAAAGTAAAATACAAACAAGTAAATAATACCATCAAAGTAAAATGCAAACAATAACAAAATAGACAATAAAAGAATGCAAAATAAAATGGTAGAGGAGGTAAAACACAGTGAGCGGGCCAAATGCAAAGGGTAAAATTTTCACTTTGCATTTGAAGAAGAACATGTGCTGAAGAGGAAGCAACAGCCTTGAGTTCATAAAGTCCAGTTGTGGGCTCAGAGTCCACCGCCTCACCTTATTTGTGTAGGCGAGATGGCACAAGCATACACCAGGGAGGGACTTCATCTTACCTACACCTTGCTTTTATGAGCGATACACAACCATAGTATAACTGCCTTTCATTTGTGGTGGGCAAGCATTGGCGTTATTTAGCTGCTGGACTATGAGAAATGTAGTTATTTTCCTGTGTTCATCTGGAAGTCAATACTCAAGGGAGGGATGTTCAATTATCTCAAACCTTCCTAAATCTTTTTATGAGAAACCTTGGCTACAGCTCTCACATCATTGGGAAGTTATTGGCTAGTGCCCTGGGTGGCAAAGCCATAAATTAGTAGATTAGAAATTACTATCTTTCTCTTAGACCACACAATTCCAGCTGCATGCTGCATTTGCACACAATACACTTGTTCAGCTTCTCTTTAAAATATATGTGTGTGTGTATGAGCAAGAGAGAGGGTAGCGAGAGAGAGAGAGACTATGGAGGTGAGGTGGCCTGTCTTGTTGAGCAGATAAATCAGGGCTTAAATGGAGTCTGCCAACATGTTGCCTCTGGAAAGATGAGTCAGAAGGAGGTCAGTAGCAAGGGTCAGGGCTGGGCTTGGTCTGGGGGACTGGAGGACACTGCTTTCATAAATATGTGAGCTCATGCCTAGGCATCTCCCAGAGGAAAAAAAAATCCAGATGTCATATCTGAGCCAT